CCGATCTCCCCCGGCCAGCCCTGCTCACCTCGTGATCGGTCCCCATCCCTGTCTTCTCCCCCCCTGGATCTGAGATCAAGTGTGTCCAGTATTTTTTTTTTTTTTTAAGCCACCTGGTAACCTAAAATTTAAACAAATTACAGGAACATGCAAAGTAGCTTCTTATCTCAGATATAGCGTCCAAAAGTGACTGTGCTGGTTACTGATTTGAGTTTGAAGAAGTTCAGGTAACCCTTTCCCAACAAGCAGCTTGATTTTTAAAGTTCTGTTTTGCTTTTCTAGTAGGACTAAAAGCTCTCTTCTCCCCCTCTCGTCCCCCCCGCCTGCAGTTCCCAACCCCTGGGTTACACATTTACAACAACAACAACAGAAAGCTTTTTTAACATCCCTAATCCAGGGCCAAACAGTTACTGAGAAACTAATGTCAAAAAGAGTAAATTTAATTTTGCAAAAAGTATTCTATTCCCTCATGTGTCTTAATATGATGAAAAGATTTAGAAGGGCAGAAAGAGTATTTAAACAAAGAGAGTGCTCACAAGTGGTTTATTGAATTGAATAATGTGTGATGCCATTTAAAGTACAACTTTTTTCATTGACCAGTCACAATTTTTTGGGTTTGATTCAATAATGGATATGGGACACGGGCGAATGAATGAATGAATGGAAATCTATATTTACTCCATGCAAAAAATAACATTAATGCAGCGTTGAAGTAGAGAAATCAGATACAGGACATCCAGAGTTAGGTTGAAAGCTCAAATTAAAAGAAAAATGCATTCCGTGCTTCCTCATGTTCAAAGTGCTTTGCAGAAATTAAATAATTTTTTTCTTAACTTTTCCTCTTTATGCTTATGCCTTAAAACAGAAGTGGGAAACCTAAGGCTCAGGGGTCAAATGCGCCCCCTGGCTTGCCTGGATCTAGCCCATGAGGATTGGGGCTTCCCCCATCCAAGATTAAGGATCGCGCACCAGTACTCCAGCCCCTTTTCTCCCTGCCCTCTCCCTGTGGGGCTGGAGCACGCAAAATCTACTAGGCTGAGCTCTGGTGTGCAAGCGGAATGTGGAGATCATCTTTCTCCTTCTCGGTCAAGGATCCTATCAGTGAGGGGTTTTTGTTTTGTTTTGTTTTTATTTTTGCACTTCTCACTTTTATATGCAGCCTCCCCCACCCCGCCGCTTGATTTTTCTGTGGATCAGTGGCCCCTGACCCGAAAAGATTCCTCACCCCTTCCTTAAAATAAGGCCATTTATTCTATTGTGATACAATACTAGAATTTCTTATGTAATCTTATCTTGTATGGTATATGCCGGGGTGGGCAAGAGGGTGTCTGACCCAGTACGACCGTTCTTATTTCCTCTTTCCACCTCCTTCAGGTCATAAATCCCTCCTAGACCCTGAATTCCTGCCAAGACCCTTACTACATAGCAGCTCACACTGCTTTAAACAGCTGGCTGTTAATTGCTCTGCACACTGGAGAGGAAGGGGGAGGGGCCTTCATGCTGCGTCCCTGCCCCAAGCAAAATTCCTCAGCTCCCATTGGCCAGTTTCCAGCCATTAGGAGCTGAGAAATTTTGTTGGAGGTGTGGGCAGTGAGCGAAGCCTCTTCACTCCCCCTCTAACTATGCTGGAGTAGAGACGTGGAACAGCTAGTCCAGCACACAGGCATGGAGCCTGTCTCCGGTTCCTGCAGGGCTGCTGGCTGGAAGCCACCTAGATAAGCGCCTCCCAGCCAGATCCTGCTTCTGTCCTTGCCAGAGGAGGCTGTGAAGGCTAGGACTGTTATAGAGTTTAAAGAGAAGCTAGATAATTTCATGAAGGTTAGGTCCATAAAAGGCTATTAGCCAGGGGATAGAAATGGTGTCCCTGGCCTCTGTTTGTCAGAGGCTGGAGAGGGATGGCAGGAGACAAATGGCTTGATCATTGTCTTCGGTCCACCCTCTCTGGGGCACCTGTTGCTGACCACTGTCGGCAGACAGGATACTGGGCTAGATGGACCTTTGGTCTGACCCAGTACGACCGTTCTTATTTCCTCTTTCCACCTCCTTCAGGTCATAAATCCCTCCTAGACCCTGAATTCCTTCCTACACCTCTCCCCAGGCCAGAATCCTCTCCTGCACCCGTACCCCTCCCTGACCCTGCATCCCTAGCCTCTCCCCCAGATCATAACTCATGCTGCGTCCCTGCCCCAAGCAAAATTCCTCAGCTCCCATTGGCCAGTTTCCAGCCATTAGGAGCTGAGAAATTTTGTTGGAGGTGTGGGCAGTGAGCGAAGCCTCTTCACTCCCCCTCTAACTATGCTGGAGTAGAGACGTGGAACAGCTAGTCCAGCACACAGGCATGGAGCCTGTCTCCGGTTCCTGCAGGGCTGCTGGCTGGAAGCCACCTAGATAAGCGCCTCCCAGCCAGATCCTGCTTCTGTCACCTTAGCCCCTCCCCCCCCATCTTCCTGCCCCAGGTCACCACCCAAACCCTCTGCATCCATAACAGAGTTTAAAGAGAAGCTAGATAATTTCATGAAGGTTAGGTCCATAAAAGGCTATTAGCCAGGGGATAGAAATGGTGTCCCTGGCCTCTGTTTGTCAGAGGCTGGAGAGGGATGGCAGGAGACAAATGGCTTGATCATTGTCTTCGGTCCACCCTCTCTGGGGCACCTGTTGCTGACCACTGTCGGCAGACAGGATACTGGGCTAGATGGACCTTTGGTCTGACCCAGTACGACCGTTCTTATTTCCTCTTTCCACCTCCTTCAGGTCATAAATCCCTCCTAGACCCTGAATTCCTTCCTACACCTCTCCCCAGGCCAGAATCCTCTCCTGCACCCGTACCCCTCCCTGACCCTGCATCCCTAGCCTCTCCCCCAGATCATAACCTCCTCCCCCCAACTCCCTCTCAGATCCCATGCCCTCTCCTGCACCCCAGTCCCGTATCCCAAGCTTCCTTCTACATCCCACCCTCCATCTCAGACCCTACACTCCCTCCATAAAAGTGCAGCCCTTGACCACTTACCAAAATCTTGGAGTGCCCTCCCTCCCCCCATTAAAATTATTGCCCAGTCCTGGTCAATTATTCAGCTTTAAGATCTGGCCTGACTGTTAAGAGATCTACAAAATGAACAAACTTCTTAAAAACTTGGCTTGGTTGTACACCTCCCTGAGATGTAAAAAATGATACCAATGTATGAGAACTAAACTGTTGTGTAAGATACTGTAGTTAAGTATGCAAGACATCCCATTTTGTATTATGGTATGTATTGTGCTAGCTGAGTTTGTTATTAAAGCTTTTAGTTAAGTCGAGAATGTTAATGAGGAAAAATATGCCTGTTATTACTTTGGTACAGTCTTAACGGCGCATTTCTTCACTGAGTACTTGATTTCACAACCTTTTTAAAATTTGAGTGGCAGGCAGGACATGGAATAATTTTTAAAACGATAAAAATAAACTGTCTTCAATAAAACTTACAAATTCCATCATTTGGAGCGCTTTCATTTGTTGCCTCTGGATCCCGTCAGCCTTGGACTGAAATCTCCTGGTATCCAGTCAAATATACCCTCTAAATATTTCTGCCAAATGTTCCATTTTCCCTGTCTGCCCATTTCTTTTGAACTTTTTTTACTCTCATACTTCAATCATCCCATTGCAGACTTTCATAGCAATGACTAGAGATGTTAAAAAGCTTTCAATACGATAACTGTGTAGCTCGGGGTTGGACAATAATTTTTTGCCAGGGGCCACTTCAGAAATTTTTGAAGTGGCTCCAGGCCTCAAGCAGAAGGGTTGGGGGCAGGATACTTTCCTGCTTCTCCACCCAGCCCCGCCAGAGAGAACCGCCAGCTATTTTGAACAGCTGGAGGTTCCCTCTAGGTACCTGTGCCCCTGGCGGTGGGAGGAAACTTTGCATGCTCCCCGTTCTGCCCCATGGCCAATCAGGGCTTTGGGGGGGAGGGCACAAAGTCTCCTCCCACCCTGCTAGGAGCCGCGTACTCCTGGCAAGGCAGAGGAAACTTCATGCGCTTTCCCCCTGCCCCTGGGCCCTGATTGAACTGGGGGCAGGGGAGTGGCAGGGCCTCCATGGGCTGGATCAACCCGCTTGACGGGCTGAATCCAGCCCATGGAGGTCCCTTTGCCCACCCCTGCTGTAGCTGTTCAAAATCTCAGGGTTTACATGTACTGCGGACTCTGTAGTATCAAGTTTTGTGTGTAGGAGTTGAGTTTTAAAATTGTATTTAGTTACTTACACATACAGAACTCAATTTGGGAAGATTCAGCAAAATCTACTAAGTATGTAGCCCAGCGGTTCCCAGCCTCTTCCAGATGGGGACCCATTCTGACAATTCAGGAAGACTTGGTGACCCAAGGCAATTGAAAAACGGGGAAAGGTGTAGGGGCAGAGCCACGTGTGGAGACACTTGGTGATCCTGTTGAAAAGTAATGGCGACCCATATTTGGGTCCTGACCCATAGAGTCTAGCCTCTGGAATGAGACCAAGCGTGTAAAAACTTCAAGCTGAAACCAAACTGATAAGTTGATAATGGAAGATGCATTTGAACCAGTCAGTTCTCTGACTGGGAATACGACTTCTGTTACCATCAGTGGGATTTTTTCCTGTTAATTTGAATGGGACACAATACAAATACTGTTTATAGCCATATTTATATCTAGTTTCTTTTGTCATTTGCATATCTCTTTGTGTACCTGTTCATCCCCTGTATATGTGCCCATAAACTTTAGCCTCTGAGAGCTGTTTGGGGGGAGAAGAGTTGTGATGAAAGCTCCTGCTGTGTTGTTGTTAAAAATAAAACCAATATGCTACTATATATCATCTTTATTATTTCCTTTTTGATTTTTTTGAGCATCTGAAAATAGGGTAGACATTTGACAAGAAAGCAGAGAGACAGTCCATGCCCTGCAGATTTTTGCATTTACTGTAACAGGTGGTGGTATGTTTCTTGTTGATATGAGATTGCATTAAGTAAATATTAATTAAAACGGTTCATTATTTAATATTTGTGCAGCACATGGAACATGTAATGTGCTGTATGTGCTAAGTATTATAGTAAATATGATAAATAGCATGACTGGATATTCAACCATGTAGAACAAATCTGTTTTTCCATTAAGGGGATCTTATGATGGCTTGACTGGCTTGTGATGTCCTGATAATCCCAAGTTAAATAGGAGAGTCTTGGGGAGTGCTCTGCTTTCTTTCTTACTTTTATTATTAAATCACTACATTTTATTTCAAAATACAAGATTTTTGGCAACTAACCTTTTCCTGCTGCACAGTGTCCTCCCTTTGTTTAGTCTCTTGTTTTCATTCCTTGTGGCTAAGCTGTCAGCCAGAAACCTTGCTATACAAGGTGCTTGTATTAGATCCTCGTATAATAAGAGTTTTGACTGATGCCAAAATTTGTACTACGTGGATGTCCTATCATAGTTTATGTAATCAGCTAATGGTTTAAGGAACAGTATGTTGACCATCCATACTATATGCTAAAAATGAAACTGATTAACCTCATCTTTTTGTTGGAAAAAATGTAGCAGTTACTCTTAAAACAAAAATAATGGCATAAATTGTAACAAATTAATTTGTGTCACTATTTTTAGCTGAGAAAAGCTATTTAAATCTGTGCATTATATATATTATTATTATTAACATAGAAATAGATGTTTACTACCATGCAAATGTGTTGTATGTGCAAAGTAAGAACTTGTGATGAGAGAGAAATAAATTTTTTCTGAAGTTAGTAAGACATATGTCATGTCATGTCATAAAAAAAGAGATCATATTATTTGAGGTAAAGATGCTTGTGCATCTCCCTGTCCTACAGAAATAAAAGTGAGTGAGAGTGGGAAGAGAGTGTGTTCTGATTAGAAGAGGGGCCTTTTAGTTAGGGAAGTCTGGGCTTTGCTTTGATTCTTCCAATAACCTTGGGCTGGTCAAGTGATGTCGTGCCTCAGTTTCCCTTATTTGTTAGAAAACTGAGGCACTTAGGCTATGTCTACCCTGCCACCCTAGTTCGAACTAGGGTGGCTAATCTAGGCATTCGAACTTGTAAATGAAGCCCGGGATTTAAATATCCCGGGCTTCATTTACATGTTTCTGGACGGGCGCCATTTTTAAATGCCTGTAGTTCGAACTACCTGCCCGCGGCTACACGCGACATGGACTAGGTAGTTTGAATTAAAGCTACTAATTCGAACTACTGTTGTTCCTCCTGCAAGGAGGAATATTTAAATCCCGGGCTTCATTTGCAAGTTCGAATGCCTACATTAGCCACCCGCGTTCGAACTAGGGTGGCAGTGTAGACATACCCTTAGATATTATTCACTGCATAGAAAGTTGCCACCCCTTTCAAAACTTCCGAGTGGCTTCTAGATACTGATCCTAAGAACTGAACTAAATGCTGTTGGGAATCTGTCCGTTGACTTTAGTTGGGTTTAGATCAGGAGTGAGCAAGAGATGGCCCATAGGCTGGATCCAGCCTTCTGTGCCGTTTGATCCGGCCCGATTGATCCAGTCCTACCAAGACCCCAAGGCTGTCCAAAATGGCTGGCAGCTCTTTGCTCCTCCTCCTGGCAGGGGTGTGCAGCACCTAGAAGAAGCCGCCAGCCAGTTTGAACAGCTAAGCATGCCCATGGCAGGGTGAGAGGGAGGGAAGAGACTTCGTGTGCTCCCCCGCCCTAGCCCATTCGGGGCTTAGGGGCAGAAGAGCAGGCAAAGTTTCTCACTCTCCTGTCTCCTCCTCTCCTCCCCCCGCCTCCCCCAAGGTGCATGGAGCATAGAGGGATCCCCTAGCTGTCCAAAACAGCTTGCAGTTCCCTCTAGAAACCGTGCGACCCAGCAGGGGACAAGAGACTTCACAAGCTCCCCTGCCCTATGGCCCTGTTCCCGGCTGCTATGATTCTCCTGACAACAGGGGAGCGCGTGAAGTCTCTCTTGCTCCAACAACGCATATAGGAAATCTCCTTGAATTGCTTGGGGCTGCTGCAGGAGGGAGCCTGCCTGGAGGACCTGTTGGGTTCCTGGCCGGGAGCCACCGAAGGTAAGTGACTCCCAGCCAGAGCCTGTCTCCAGTGCCCTAGCTGTACTCCCCAACTCCCTGCCCTAGGTCACCACCCAAATACTCTACACACACATTCCACCCCAGGTCACAATTCCCTCACAGACCTTGCATCTCCTGCTGACTCCCAGGTCAAAATTCACTCCTGCACCCCAAGCTCCTGATCCAGATCACAACCCCCTACTGCATCCAAACTCCCTCTCAGACTCCACACCCTCTCCTGCACTGCAACCTCCTACCCTGAGTTCTCTTCTGCACCTAACCTCTGTCCCAAAATCCACATCCCCGCCATAGAAAAGTATAGCTCTTGACCACTTTCCAAAATTATTGTCCACCTCTGGCTTAGATGAAGCTGTAGGTTTTGTTGTTTTCTGCAGTGTGTTTTGACACATTTGATATGTTTGTTCACCAGAAAAGAAAGTTAAGATGTGTGTGATTTAAATGGGTCTCTGTAAGATAGAAACCTGGGTTCAAATGTTAAGTTTGTGCACGCTCCAAAAATGCCAGTTTGGCACAATTTGCTATTGGAATGCAGGGTTTTTGAGAGTCCAAAAGGAGTTGAATTGATAAGGGCCTTGGGGAGTTTTGGCCATTTGCATTGAATCTAGCTCTAGCCAGTGCTAGCAAGCCCTCCAGTTTGAAAGGAACCAAACTAAATCAAGACACTTGTTAAATGGTAGAGAAACTAATTTTTAACCAAAATGTCCGCCACCCTTTTCTTGTTTGTTTGTTTTTTTTTTAAAAAAAACCCCTCAAGTATAGGGTTAATTCACTTCTCTATCCTTAAACTGTATATAGATTTATTTCACTAGTATTTCTGACTAGTGAGTTGTTTTTTTCTAAAGCATTGGGGTTTCAATACAAACACATTTAATGGTAAGTGAACTTGGTGTTTTTATGAAGATGTCATTGACAGAGCTGAAAAATGAAACTCTGCCACAGATCTTGTACTTTAAGGGCCGTGGTAGCATGAACTTCATAACACTCCTTACCAATGTACCTTAGTCCCATTCTTGTAGATCATATTTACTAGACACTGGATAATTTAGTCTCCATGACCATTCAGTCTATGGCATCTCTAAAGGTACATCTACACTTTATGCTTATTCCGAAATGGCTTATTCTGAAATAGCACGTCTACACTACAGCGAGGCCTCAAAATTAATCCGAGGCAGGCTCCCCTAATGTGAATGCACTATCTCCATTTAGAGTCCCAGGAAGCACTTGAGAGCCCCATGGAGTAATTAGTTTGAATGGTCCCGGGGAGGAGCTATTTTCAAATAGCATCAGTGGAGTGTCCACACTACAGCTATTTCAAATTAGCTATTTTGGAATAGGCATTATTACTTGTGGAATAAGTTTTACAGAAGTCGGAATAAGCCATCCGTTATTTCAATTTTATTTCAAAATAATGGAATTGCTGCGTAGGCGTTCGTGTTATTTCGAAATAACGGCCGTTATTCAGAAATAACGCTGTTATGTAGACGCACCCTAAGAATGCCAACAACAATGCCAGTTTTGCCAGTTCCGGTGGCTTTATATTGTAGACACCTATATTAATGCATTTTTTTGATACATAAGATTAGTGGCATATGAGCTGTTCTGACTCTTTCTATAGCTCCTGGAACCTGTCTGCCACCAGCTCTTTGAACTCTACCGTAGTTCTGAAGTTCGACTCAAGAGGTTCACACTACAGTTCCTGCCAGAATTGATCTGGGTATATCTGCGTTTTACTGCCAGCAGGGACAGACAGAGTAATGGTTGCATGGAAGCGCTGCTTCTTGGGATTTACAATTTGGTAAGTCAGATAAGAAGGGAAGGGTGTCAAGAGCTTAAAGGTAATCAGAGAGCAGTAGAAATAAAGTAATGCATAGGAATATCAACAGAACAAAATATTAGAAATGTTAATGAATTAATGCAGTTACATTTACGTAAATTTAACCTAGAAGAAAGCATAAATTAATGAGTGTTCAGGAAAAGCATGTTTGTAGAATCTCATTTGATAGTTTGTAAATCGGTTTGACTGCCTCAGTGCAGCAGATTTTTTGTTGTTGCCCTATATACTGTGCTTGCCAGAGGAGTGTTGTAAGTCTGTATAAAAATCTAAAGAGTTGAAATTTACTGATAGTATTTTCTGAACTCTTTGTTGAATCAGTCTTTCCATATTGGACTCTCCTGTTTTGTTACTCAGATTTAAGGTGAAGTATTGAGACTAAAGTAACATTCCCTCACAAATTATGCATGGTTGGCAAACATCTTTTGGCTGGGGCTTTTAAAAAAATGTATTCACTGTAGTTTCCTGAATTTGACTGTCAAAAACTCTCAGATGATTTCAGGGTATCACAAATAGTATTTTTGCCAGGGACATTTCATTTATATGTTTCCTACAAATTTATATTCTTAGTGTTTTATACCACTATGCTAGGTCTGCTAAATTATCAATAATATGTTAGGAAATACCCTTTCTTGCAATGAGAATTTCAATTTTACACTGCTTTTAAAACACAATGTGCTAAATTATTTTCCTTCTATTTCACTATAACAAGTTTTGTTTTAGCGGTGTATACTTGAGTATAGAGTGCTTTATGTTCATACTCTTGGTAAAGGAGACAAATTCTGATCTTTGTGACACATTTGTAAATCCATATCAACTCCAATAAAACTAAGTTATTCTGGATTTATGCTGGTGTAAACAATATCATAATCTGGCCTTTGATTTTAATCTGTTGGGCTGAAGTAGGTTGTAAAGTTATCATTGGCTTCAGTTTTCATGAAGGCACTTCATTTGACCCTCTGGAACTCAGATTGGATGATTGACAGTGTAGGCACAGCAGCCAATGCTGCTACATTCCCTCCAAACTGAAATAGATTGTAAAATGGGGAGTGACTCTATACTTTTCTCTAGCTGCAGACAGGAAGAGGGTAATATTGCTGATATTGTATAATATTAGATAATATATATAATAATGCTCCGTGTGAAATTCTCAGATTTAAATAAAAGAAAAATCCTTATTTTTAATACTGTTTTGTTTTTGTTTTTAAGAGTGGAAAAAGTGCTTGAGAAACTAATTATATCTAGACAGACAATAGCTTTATTAATGAAGCCAGCTCTAATTTCCCCACTGTTCCCTGAAGCGAAGTGGAATTACTACACTGCCTTCAGTGGACTGTCACTGAAACTAGAGTGAGTCATAGAAATGTTATTGTAAAATGTGAAAAGGTAGGGTTTGCTGACTCTTTGGCATATTTTTGTATGATTACGTCTAATAAAACACAAGCACACCATAGGCCAATGCTGTTTTTATTGATGTGAAAACTGTATTCAAAATATTCTGTATATCCTTTTCTGCTTTGCCAGAATACTTGCAGAAATCAGTCCTCTCATTTTCACCTTTTCCCTTTGATAGATTTATCAAGAGATATTTCCACTTGCTAGCAAATGACTCATCAGCTGTAACACATACATACATATATATTCCTTTGTCCTTTCAGCATTGGTCTTTTTTCATCATGTAATTTTGTGCTTTATAAATTAGAGGCTTGAAAAATCTTTTAATCTTCTCTTAGAAGTCTGAGTGTCATTATCGCAAAAAGAACAAATATTCTTTTGTAAGTTTTCTTCAGTCTTGATTTTACAAAACAATTTACTATTTCCCTATTGACTTTAGTGGCATTCTGTAAAGGCATAAAGACCTGTACAGATGAATAATTTTGCAATATAAGGATCTTATTTTATTATTTGTGTTAAACGTCTGTGTGGTCTTATCACGAGTTCAAAAACCCATTCCCTCATGTCTCTCTTTCTGCTGTAGGAAATTGCTGACAAAGATGGGAACAACAAAGTTTTATCTTTCACCATCCCTTCATTATCGAAGCCCTCAATATATCATGAGGTAAGAGTGCAAATGTGGTGATAAGTTGGAATTGGGTCCAATAAGAGTTAAAATTGAATGCTAGAGATGAACTTTCTTCATGCATGTTCTTTCACTGAATTTTCAAGGGTAAATTCTTGCAACTGTAATTTAACCCAGTAGAAATAATAGAAGATGGGAAAGGTAAATCTTGAAATGAATAATTAAACTCTTCCATCTGATATGTTTTGTTCTGTTTTTGGTTTTTCATTGATTTGCAGAGTCCAATTCTTTTACATGTCAGCTACTTGGATGCTGTTAGCATATTTAAAGCATGGTTCTGCCTTACCAAATACCGGGATAGAATGACCCAAAAACTAAACTGCATTGTTCTGCTATATGTGCTATTTAAAAATCCTCTTTGCCCAACTCCAGCTTGTTTTCGTGTTTTCGTGCTACCTTGTCTTCAGCAAGATGGAGATTACCAGTTGACATTTCTGGAAGCATTACATGTGTTTCATAAACGCTGTATTGTGGTGGGAGCTTTGGGAGAGTGGAAGAAAGTGGAAACTGAAGAACTTTGATCCCATTCTATGACTCATAAGCTGATTTTTTTTTTAATGGCCTGCAGCACATGATGTTCAAGTACTAGCCCATATTTAACAGTTTTTTCTTTAGAGCTAATTTCAAGTGGATTTCTGTTGATTTGAGCTCTCCTTTTATGTGAAATGTGTCTTACTAAGATACTACTGGTGAAATCCCAGTTCCATTGAAGTTAGTAGCTGAACTCCCAGTGACCTGATTATGAACAGAATTCAGCTCAAAATTTTTACCAACAGTGGCTGTTCTTCAGAGTTGGAGATTAGACTGAAACATTTCTTAATAAACATCTGTGTCAAGGACATAATGCATTTATATGTCATTTCCTTTCACTTTTCCCTTTGTGTATAAAAATGGACACAGTTGTCTTCTAATTCATAGGTCTTTGTTATTCAGATATATTTTAATCTAAACTTTCAGAGAAGTTGCATCTATCACCTCACACATTAGTTTACATAATGAAAGGTGCATAGTACTGGACTGGGTTTCTTCCTCTGAACACTCGGTTAAAATCCCACATAGGCTAATGTAAAACTGAATTTGTGTCTCATTCTTGTTGAGTGCTGAGCAAGATACGGCTTGGAGCCGGATCTGTCCCAACAACCACTTTCATCCAGCCTGCGGACTGCATCTGGCATTTTCTGTTTATATTCTGCTGCCTGTGTCACCAAATTTCAGGCAATAGCTGAGGCAGAAGGATCCTATTTTCGCAGTACTACCCTGGCAGAGGCTGGAGCTGTGAGCTATTTAAATAGCCGCAGCGATCTCAGGCGACTGCTAGGCAATGCGTTAACGGTGTGGCAGGAAGCCACGAGCCCTTTGCTGTGTATTAAAAAAATTCAAAGCATCAAGCTCCAGACAACTTGGGAAGAGACTAGTCCCCTGGCCCCACCCTTTCCAAGGGGTGGAGCTGGCCTTTGACCATGTACAAAAATTCATTAAGTGGGCTCCCTGTGAAAATTATTGCCCACCCCTGGTCTAGTCCCTAACAGATGTTTGGTCACACAAAAAAACCCACTGTAAAACTGGGCTACTCAACACGTGGCCCGCGGGTGAGATCCTTTGAACATGGCCTCCGCTGGGAACATGCTCCACAAGGGCAAGGCCTCTCCCAGGTGGGGTGAGCATTGAAAGACGCAAGTGGACGGGCTGCCTGGAACAGACGGGTACAGGGTGTCGGCATTTCTAGTTCCCAGGGAGGAGGTTCTGTGAGCGCCAGAGCATTATGGGAAATGCTGGCTGCTTAGCTTTGTGCTTGAGTCCGGCACCGCAGCTTAAGGCTTAATCTTTGTATTCATGCCCCTCAGTGTGAAAGAATATGTTTGCATGTATATGCAACCACACTTATGTCGCAGCACATGGCATGTGCTGTGAGTATCATTGTGGCTCCCAGGGTTTCCAAAGTCGAGTAGCCCTGCTATAAAATGTCTGTAGGTTTTGTTCTTCACATGTAGAGCCCTACAAATAAACAGATATCCATGTGTATCTGCATCTGTAGAAGTCAGTGCTGATATCTGTGGCTTGTATTTTGTGGATCATGGATATGGATATGATCAGGGCTCGACAAATTCTGGAAAACCCTACTCACCAGACAAAAAAGGGTCTCGCCACCCTCCCCTCCCAAAAAGTGTGTTTTAATAGCATAAATTCCTAATAAGAATTAGTAATTACTGTTCTTATAAGTTACTAATAAATATCACCCAAGTTATTAATAAATATTTTTAAACCTTTACCTTTTCTCTCTGCTGCCATGTCTCCTCCCCTTGCTCCATCATCTCCCCTGGTGCCTGCTGCTCCCCACCCTCCCCTGCTGTCCTGACTCCTGCCCTTCTCACTGCCCTCAGCCTTCCTGAGACCTGCCCCCCTCCACCAGCCCTTCTCTCCCCCCTGTGCCCACTCCTCCACTGACACCTCCCCTCCTGCCCTTTTCCTCATTGTCGCACTTGGCCCCCTATGGTTTCTCTCTCCTGCACCCCTGTCCCTTGGTGCCTTCCCCTTTCTTCTTCTTCTCTTGACCTCCTCCCCTCTGCTCCCCTTCCCTCAGCACAAGCCTCTTCCCCATATTTTTCCCCTCCCCTCCCCACAGCCCAGCCCAGCCCCTTCCCCTCCCCCAGGGCCAGCTCTAGGTTTTTTGCTGCCCCAAGCAAAACATTTTTGGCTGCCCCTCCCCCCCTTTTTGTTGTCTTTTACACATGTTTGCATTTTGCAATGGTTTTTTTGGGGGGTTTTCATTTTTGTCCCAGTGTTTTAACCCTATAAATAGCAAATGGCATTTTCATTTGTTTTTTTCCATAAAGGCAAAGGCGCTTCACGTGAACTCCCCCTTTCACTCGCTGCTGGATCACAGCAGCCTTTTCCCTGCCCTGTCCAGCCCCTCCCTATGGACAAGCCCCATCACTCCCGACCCACAGGGGAAACGGGTGCAGGGACAGCACAGAGCCAGAGAGGTGCAGGGAACAGTGTGGGGGGTACAGGGGTGGCACAGAGAACGGGAGGCACAGAGCCAGAGGGGTACAGGGTGCGGTGGAGGCAGGGGAATGGGACACGGGGAACGGCAGGAGCAGAGGGATTGGGGTCTGGGGCAGTGCAGGGAATGGGCAGCACAGAGCTGGGGGGGCAGGGATTGGAGGGGAGCAGGGTGCAAGAGCAGCGCAGAGCCAGAGAGTTGCAGGGAAGAGGGAGAGCAGGGGAGGCGTGGGGAACAGGTGGCGCGGAGACAAAGCGGCGCGGGGCAGGTGCAGTGAGCCGGGTGGTCGGCCGGGAGCGGTGTCCCACCGGTGAGGGGGTTGAGGCCATGGCAGGACTGGAGCCGGCAGGGTGTGGCCTGGCTGCGCCGCAGACAGCTCCCGGGGCCACGCAGCCAGAGCCGAGCTGCTGCAGCCCTTTAAGATCAGTGGAGCCATGTCACTCCTGCGTCCTGGCGTCTGCCGGCGTCCTGCCTTCTGGCTCGTGCCCCGCCTCCTCGTGCCAGATCTGCACACAGGCAGCCCGGCACTGAGAATCACTGCGCTTCCCCCTTCCCAGCGGCACTCCACTCCTCTGCCTGGCCGGTGGATCAGATGGGGCCGTGCCACCTGTAGTGCGGGCTTTGGCCAGCCTGTCACAACCGCCCACCGGGCCAGTCCGCCTCTGCACTCGCCAGCTGATAAAATCTACTTGCTGCAGGCAAGTGCATTTGTCGAGCCCTGGATATGATACAAATGTTGTATCAATGCAGGATTCTATTCATATGAGAAGCCCCAGATTTAAGTAAAAGATGTTGGAGGTCAGTTTTAAGGAGTGTTGTTCCATCTGGAACTATATAGGGAAGACGTTCCCAAACTTTTTCTAAACATTGGACCCTCTCTTGCTAGAGGAATTGCTTGTGAACTACCTGCCCCTTCTATTTGCCATCTTGGGGAGCAAATTCTCTTCCCGGTTGCAATCACAGCAATTTCTAACATGGAAAAGTGAAAATTGAAAGTGTGTTAATACAGTTTAATAGCTAAAGGCAAAAGAGAGCCAGGACCATATAACCCTTCATCTTCTAGCATTTGCAGTGCATGCTGGATCGCTTGACAGCAACTTCTTTAGCAGAATGAAGGGGCCTAAAGCCATCAGGAAGTCTGGCTAGTTGAGATTCATCAGCATATGGCTTTGACTGATGGAGACCACATTGACAAAGTGGGTCGGCACAAAGACCGCATGTATAGAAGTTGACTGGTCATAGCGTGTTACAGACCACCTACATGTGTTTCACATACAGCAGTTGGACATCCATTGATGTTGTGCAAATTGCCTCGTGCTCCCTCCACCACTATTTCCCTGATTTTCATGTGGCACCAAATACACCTCAGTCCCAGAAATCAATGTCCATTAAGTTCTCCAAATGAAATGGAAGTCCTTGATATGCCACAGCTTATTTAGTTTTAGTGGATGTTTTGTGATCAGTGCTCTCTGCGTTGAGTTGAAAGTGTGGCTCTTGGGTGTTGATCTGTACAAGCTAGTTGCATATAGTTAAAACTGAATTATTCCGTTTCTTCAGTCATTTTGAGGAGAATATAGTCAATTTTAAAATTTAAACCCTGAGTAGCTTTGGGGAGTCCTCCTAATTCACCCTATCAATGTTACTTGGTTTTGCAATCCTATTTTTGTAATGCTTTCTCTGCTATTGCTTGCATGAAACAACATAGGAAACAGGGAAACGGACTGGACACAAAATATGGAAGATAATGAAAATGAAATATTATTTCTCTAGTCTTTCATTGCTAATATACTTAATTTTTATTAAAACAAATAACACTTATGTAAATCACACATGTATGACTGTTTAAAGTTGACCGTGTCCTTTTAAAGTTATTTTAGGAATAGTTTTTAGCAGTTCTACAGATTACTACAAGAGAGAAGTAAAAATTTTTCTAGATAAAATGTCGTGGGTTTTGGATCCTCCTTATGCTAGCATTTTCTATTTTTATTTTTCCCATGCCTTTCTCTCCTAAGCCTTCCACTATTGGATCCATGGCCTTGACTGAGGGAGCCCTATGTCAACATGACCTCATCAGGGTAGTTTACAGTGATCTTCGTCCTCAGAGAGAAACCTTCACTGCACAGAACCGGTGAGTAGTCAAGCTGTGCAGACTTCATTAGTCTGTCAACAAATTTAGAAGCAATGCAGGGTGAACTCTCACGTTCCTAGTTTTCTAAGTATAAATCAATGTTAGGTCAATAGGCTTGTGTACGGTTTGCATTTTACTTGTCTGGCTCGTCTCTTACAATTTAGAGCTTGTGAGTCTATTCCTAATTCATTAAAAATAAAGTATTTCTCTAGCACATCCATTTCTGCAAGTGGTATCTCCAAGCAGTCTGGAAGGCTGATTGGCAGACTTAAACTTATTTTAAACTAGAGTCTATGTGAAATGCAAACTTTTCCTATATTATATCTGTCTTCAATTGTGTATATTTACATGAGCGTTTGGCATTATTCCTCCATACCCTAATGCCACTGCCTTGTAGTAATCTGTTACATATCATGCCTTTTAAAATATTTAAGGAGTCTTTTGATAGACCATTTCTGGTCAGTGAATTAACATGGAAGAGCAATAACTAAGGGCTGACTTATTGTATTTCTGATGCCATCTTGTCCTGTGAATGAGCCATTTTAGGTCCTTCTGGTGGATTATTAAAAATCTGAGCCATTGTAGTTCCTTTTGTCTCATGTTCTTATCTTTCTTCAGGTTTGAGGTGCTCAGCTTTCTCATGCTGTGCTATAATGCTGCTATTGTCTACATGCCTGCCTCCTCCTATCAGGCACTTTGTAGGATGGGTTCCAGGTGAGGATCTTATGCTTAAAGAACATTCCTAGAGTTATAAATATACAAAGAAAGAGAGTGGGTTTACTCATTCTTCTCTGGTAACTTGACAGATCATAATTTAATTAGAAACGTAATGCTATTTTTGCCTATGAAAACAATATAGTGTGTGTATCAGCTGCATTTGCTTTAGTTAGGGATCTCATAATGTTTTGCTTTGTGGCACATAAAGTGATAGTAAAAACTGGAGTTTCTCAAGACCTGCAGTAAATGCAGATTGACCTGCATCTCTTTATAGTGACCCAAAAACTTGGTTAGATGTATCACCTGTTTCCTCTACTTCTGAGTATTAGTGCAATTTACTTATGAGTTGGTTTGGATGCTTGACTTACAAACTGTCAAAATGCTGTGCTTCATAACAGCAATACACTTGGAGAAATTGTACCATCATTTCTCATTCTCATCTTTTCCGTGAACACTTGCTTGAGGAGTATTTAAAATGGCTTGATGACATTAAGTTCTTCTTTTTGTTCTGGAATTTTAAATATTTCTGATACCCCTGCACATCTCCTTTGTACCAGCTTTTTATGGTATAATTAATAGACGATGGTGACTTTCTTTTTAATACAAAAAAGTACAAAGCAGTAGACACCTTTTCTTTGGATTTTTGATGTGCCTCGTCATCTTCAGCAGCATGTTTCCTATACATTACTGACTAAGTATTAAATATAGTGCAGATACTGTTTTGCCAATGTACAGCAGGATCAGAATAGCATCCATCAGTGTTTACTTCATTAGAACACAATACATATTCCCACCAAAGGGTTCTTGTTAGAAGCTGCAAATGGGTGGCAGGGGTGGATCACGGTTCTGTTCATTTCCTCTGGAGCACCTGGATTGGATTGGCTGCTCTCAGAAGACAAGGTATTGGCCTAGGTGGACCGTTAGTCTCACTTAGCATGGCTGTTCTTATGTTTCTGTTCTGGGCTTTTCTTTTCTCTCTACAATTCCTTTGTTCCTGAATCTCGTAGGATGGAATTTTTCCTAGATACACTTCTGTCTCTTTCAACTAAGTTATGTCAAGGTTGAGTTTGGCCAAGTGTACTATACTTCTTTACATTTGAAATGTTTCCTTTCTTCAGATTTAGAGTGAGATAAAACTTGTAACAATGAATTGGATTTTAACAATTTCACCATTGGAAAATGAAGTCGACACCACCAGAATTGTAATTTGCACATTTAAATAGATTGACTATAGCGACTATAAACTGAGCTTCCCTGCATCCAAATTCACTATAATCAGCGTCTACTATTTCACACACATGTGGAAAGGCTCCAAACTCTTGTTCACCAGCACACCACCTTTTCCCTCTCCCCCCTAAAAATTAGCTTCTGCGTTGTTGCCTATATTAAGAGAACAGGTAAAAATAGTCATCTGGCTATCAAAGTGCATACTTGCCTAAAATCAGTAATTGTGTAACTTGTTCTAACTCTTCTCCTAAGCTCATCCTTTCCCTCCTCCCTGTGCTTGGTTGCTAATGGCCACTTTTTTATCATAATTTATTATCTGGATTTTAGACATCTGTGGCAGGAATCTGATTTTTAATTGTTCTATAAAGTGCCTAGAACACTCCTGTATAAACAACTAGACGATACCCAGCATTGCTCAGGTCCTTAACTCAATTTTTGTTTTTTGGATAATCAGATGAAATGTACATACTTCATTTAAATCATTGCTCTGGGGCAGGGCTGGGAATGTGGGGCTCAGTATGCAGGCTGTCCTGGGGAGAAAGGCCTGCCCCAGTCCTTTGTCACTGCGGCAGCTTGGGGCTAGGTGAGAAGTGCCGCTCTGTGGCAGTTGCACCTCCAGCGGGCACAAGCGAGGGAGGTGTGCGTGTCTCCTAAGTGGAGCAGATCTGAGTTTGTCTGCAACAAACTGCACTTTCCTCTTATTCCCTGATGAAGGGAAATAGCCAGCAATGCTCCTGTATGATTCGGGAGAGAGCGTTAGCCCCCCTGCATTCGTTAAAGGGTGCTGGGGGCGGGGTGGGAGGGAGATTGAGAGCTGGGGTAGTAATGGATTGACATGTACTTGTTTCCTGTCCTTAAATCAATGTTGTGATCTCTTCTTTCATGCTTTCTAACTATCTGTCAGTCACTCACTCTGTTTTGTGATCTATTATTAAATACTTTTATAGAATTTAGGTAAATCATGTCGACTCTTTTTTGTCTTGGGCAACAATGCGAGTAACGTTAGGTCTGATTTTCCATTTATAAATCCATGAAAGTTTTTTCTTAACATTCCTTGATTTGGAATTGGTTAATATGTATTTAGGTACAATCCTAAAACATCCTTTAAAATCCCAGATTACCACTATAAATAAACTTGCCTTCGGAAACCCCATTGTTAGTTTGTTTGTTTGTTTTTTTTGTTGAATTTACAAATTGCAACCTCAAAAATGTTCCATTCTTTGAGTGCTTGCTCGTATCCATTCTAGGGATGTTAAATATCAGCTAATTGAATAATTGAGTAACCTCATGCCATTTTATCGGTTAGTTGACTATTGGGGCGGGGCCCTTTTAGCCACTGTATCAGAGGCAGCAGCATGGGGTCAGTTTCAGCAGCGGCTGAATCGGGGAGGCCGGGCACAGAGCAGCTCCAATTGTCCGGCAGCTGGAGCACTTCCGGGTTCCTGATGGTACCGGACCATCAGGAGTGCCGGAGCATTGGTTGCTGGACCAATGGAGATTTACTGTATTGAGAAAAGCTTAGATATACATAAATCCATGGGTCTGTATTGAATGCATCCTAGGGTACTGAGGGAGTTGGCAAATGTCATTGCAGAGCCTTTGCCATTATCTTTGAAAACTTGTGGAGATGGGGAGAGGTCCCAAATGACTGGAAAAAGGCAAATGTAGTGCCCATCTTTAAAAGAGGGAAGAAGGACATTCTTGGAAACTATAGACCAGTCAGCCTTACCTCAGTCCCCGGAAAAATCATAGAGGGGGATCCTCAAGGCATCGTTTTTGAAGTTTTTGAAGCTTCCATGCTGTCTGGTATTCAGTTCTCAAAGTTCTAAAAAAAGTGTTATTTATTGAATATATATGGTATGCTCAGTGCTAAACAGGATATGGGGAAAGCAAAGCCTGTGCTCCAAGGAGGTGGTAAAAATATTGTCCTTTGAAAGACTAGCTCTTTTGATAAAGCAACTTTGTTTTCCCCAGTGTATTTTTTTAATGAAACTATCTCCTATTAATTTTCTGTTATAGTATGTTACATAGAGAAAAGTTCTCCATTCTGAAGTATTAAACTAAGCATTCTACCTACCTGAGGAACATTCACTGTTGTTCTCACATTTTATGGTTAGCAAGCTAGCTTCTGAGAAAGTTTTGTGTCTCTCACAACTAGCTAGCTGGAGATTTCACCCAAACTAATGTGAATAAGAGTGTATGGATACAGACTATTGGAATTATGGCCAAAGTTTCAAGTCTTTTCTGTGAATATTCTGCTTAAAAATGTCAAGAAATTGATGTGATACTTGCAGTAAGAAACTGAATAGTATTTGGAAGAATAATCAGAGCTTATCACTTGAGTGTGTCTCAGTTGATGGATATAAAACATGTTTCCTTAAAGTGTTCATTGGGTTAGAGTTTTGATTCTGTATTCTGTTTTGTCAGGCTTTGTGTGAGTGGATTTCCACGGCAGCATGAAAAATGCTGGAAAGAATACTGTAACAGAGTGGTACTAGATCCTGACTTCATGGTGCAGCTGCTCACAGGTGTCTATTATGCCATGTAAGTAGGTGGTGTTTGGAAGAAGGGTTGGATGACTACAAGTAAATTAAAATACCATTTATTTCTGTTTTCTACATTGAATATATGAATTAAGCCATCACTTCATTTGAGGATTAACTGCTTTATCACTTGATTTTCCTTTGACTTGTTATCTTGGCCAGCTGACATTTTGGAAATGCCTTTATCAGCATTCAGTCATCAGCGCTGGGTGCAGAAGAGTGGTGTTTTTCACTTCCTCTTCTCTCCCAGAGATGTTACTTTCACAGCATCCCTTCTCTTCATCAGTGCAATGTTGGCAGACTTTAAGATAGCTGTTAAACCTAGGTCCCCTGGAATGATAGTGTGACATGAAGCCCCTGGATTAGCCTAAACACACTTCTGACTGCAACCCAATTATAACAAGTAATGTAACCACTTTTCTTCACTGTGACCTTTATCATAACATCCTTCTGTCTTGGAGGTGGGTGGGAACAATTAGGTGTAATATTAATTAGAATCATTACTGAGGTGTTCCATCTATTTCTTTATGCTGTGTTGGTGTATATTGTTTGTAGATACAAAGGAGAAGGGTTTGGGTTCAAAAAATACTGATTGATAAATACCTTGTTTGTTTTGTTTTCTAGTTATAATGGACAGTGGAGTCTTGGCCAGGAGGTCTTAGATGACATAATTTACAGAGCACAGCTTGAACTTTATACTCAGCCACTACTGGTAAGGAAGAGGCAACTGAAATCCATTCATTTGATTAAAAAGCATATAAATGTGCTGATAAAATGCAATGCTCTGAAAAGGTTCATTTACTAGTTACAATGATATACTACATTCCAATAGGAATTGTATTTGTTTTCTATGACTTGGCATTTTAGCACTGCTACTGTTCACATCATGCTTTTTTGCTTACGTGTTAAGTGCTGGTACTTAGAACTTATAATAACTCCTTGGTACTGGGAAAAAGGATTTCCTTATGTTCTGATTTAAAATACCTACACTCTTGTACGTAGGGTAGGCCCACTGGTCAGTGAGGAGGGAGAAACAGTAACAGGAAACTTGGAAATGGCAGAGATGCTTAATGACTTCTTTGTTTCGGTCTTCACCGAGAAGTCTGAAGGAATGCCTAACATAGTGAATGCCTGCAAGTCACCAGGACCTGATGAAATGCATCCTAGAATACTCAAGGAGCTGATAGAGGAGGTATCTGAGCCTCTAGCTATCGTCTTTGGAAAATATGGGAGACAGGAGAGATTCCAGAAGACTGGAAAAGGGCAAATCTAGTGCCCATTTATAAAAAGGGAAATAAGAACAACCCAGGAAACTACAGACCAGATAGTTTAACTTCTGTGCCAGGGAAGATAATGGAACAAGTAATTAAGGAAATAATCTGTAAACACTTGGAAGGTGGCAAGGTGATAGGGAACAGCCATCGTGAATTTGTAAAGAACAAATCATGTCAAACCAATCTCATAGCTTGATAGGATGACGAGTCTTGTGGATAAGGGAGAAGTGGTGGATGTGATATACCTAGACTTTAGTAAGGCATTTGATACGGTCTCGCATGATATTCTTATCAGTAAACTAGGCAAATACAACTTAGATGGGGCTACTATAAGGTGGGTGCATAAATGGCTGGATGACCGTACTCAGAGAGTAGTTATTAATGGTTCATAATCCTGCTGGAAAGGCATAATAAGTGGGGTTTCGCAGGGGTCTGTTTTGGAACCGGCTCTGTTCAATATCTTCATCAACGATTTAGATATTGGCATGAAAGTACGCTTATTAAGTTTGCAGATGATACCAAGCTGGGAGGGGTTGTGACTGCTTTGGAGGACAGGGTCATAATTCAAAATGATCTGGACAAATTGGAGAAATGGTCTGAGGTAAACAGGATGAAGTTTAATAAAGACAAATGCAAAATGCTCCACTTAGGAAGGAACAATCAGTTTCTCACACACGGAATGGGAAGCGACTGTCTAGGAAGGAGTTTGGCAGAAAGGGATCTTGGTGTTATAGTGAACCACAAGCTGAATATGAGTCATCAGTGTGATGCTGTTGCAAAAAAAAAAAAAAAGCAAACATGAGTCTGGGATGCATTAACAGGTATGTTGTGAGCAAGATACGAGAAGTCATTCTTCCGCTCTACTCTGCACTGGTTAGGCCTTAGTTGGAGTATTGTGTCCAGTTCTGGGCTCCGCATTTCAAGAAGGATGTGGAGAAATTGGAGAGGGTCCAGAGAAGAGCAACAAGAATGATTAAAGGGCTAGAGAACATGACCGATGAAGGAAGGCTGAAAGAATTGGGTTTGTTTAGTTTAGAAAAGAGAAGATTGAGGGGGGACGTGATAGCAGTTTTCAGGTATCTAAAAGGGTGTCATAAGAAGGAGGGAGAAAACTTGTTCATCTTGGCCTCTGGGGATAGAACAAGAAGCAATGGGCTTAAACTGCAGCAAGGGAGGTTTAGGTTGGACATTAGGAAAAAGTTCCTAACGGTGAGGGGGAAATCTCGCTCCCCTGGGGTACAGAGCCCCCAGAAGGGTCCGAGGCTGGAAGTCAAATCAGTGAGGCAGGAGAGAAACCTAGAAGGAAAAACTTTATTATGCATGCATGCAGTCTGACAGTTACCAGAGAACAAGAGCAGTCAGCCCAGAGATACAGGTTTAAGGATCCTTTATACAGAATGCTTAGACAGTTCAGTTGTTGATTGTTTTCTTTAACATATCAAAGTCTCAGCAGAAGTACTCTGAGACATTTCTGTTCACACCAGGAGTGCTAGAAGTAAGTTTTATAAAACAAAGGCACATGAGAATGTGGAGTGAGTGGTCTTACAAGGCAAACTGTGAGGAAGATAAGAGTTTACAAGATAATTTGTGACAGACTAGGAGTATCCATGAATTTGAGATAGGCATTTGTAAGGGTGTTTGATTAGAGTTTAGATGATTTCTCTCTGATACAGGGAGAGAGGCCTGGAAAACTTTTAACCCTTACAGCAGTTTTCTTTTAGAGAGTTTTGATTTCCTGCACAGTCCCCCCTTAGACACAATTGGAGTTATTTGATTTTTCTCCAAACACTGGAATAAATTGCCCAGGGAGGTTGTGGAATCTCCATCTCTGGAGATATTTAAGAGTAGGTTAGATAAATGTCTATCAGGGATGGTCTAGACAGTATTTGGTCCTGCCATGAGGGCAGGGGGCTGGACTTGATGACCTCTCGAGGTCCCTTCCAGTCCTAGTATTCTATGATTCTTTGTAGCAAGAGCTACACAAAGATAACTCCTAGGGTATGTCTCTACTGCAATAAAAAGCTTCTGTCACTGGGTCAGCCGACTCAGGTTTGCAAGGCTCAGGCTGCAGGGTTGTAAAGTTGAAATGTAGAGATTCTGGCTCAGGCTGGAGCCCGGGCCCAGACATGTATACTCAGTTTCATAGCCCTGCCACCTGAATCCCATGAGCCCATGTCAGCTGACTTAGCCCTTTTGAGGCTGTGCCATATGCCATGTATTGCAGTGTAGACACACCAAAGGGGTTACATTAAGTAGTTATCTGATATCACAGGACATTAGTGGTATTCTGCTCACCTGTGGTGAAACTTAATCATGGTTTAGAGTTTGTTCAGCTGACTCACCACAGTATTCTTGGTGGTAGGAGCACAAATGGAATAGTTCTGAATTTTCTCAGACAAACTAGACCAGCAGAGCTATCTACAGACTTAAAGTTATTGATGCTGCCACCCTAACTTAATCCATCCCATTTCTTTCTGCAGCCAGCCCTCTAGCTAAGATCCTTTTCTCTAAGAATACAGTTTTTAAAAACATTTCTACTGCATTTTCTGGCCTGACCCTGAAAGATGAAAGGAGAGAAATAAAAAAGGAGATAGAAATAAGGGACAAATTGAAAGACAGACAGTGGTGGATGTGATGGCGGGGAAGAAGAGAGACAAATAGAGAGGACGAAGTAAATATTTTTTTGTGTGTGTGTACGTTTGGGCAGAGGGGGAGTGGCGGTAAGAAGACCAAATTAGTGGAGGGTAGGATTATTACTGTCTTTGGCACCTTGCATTTCTTTGGGATCAAAAATTAAAGTGGGGAGTAGGCTTTGGTGTTGATCCTCAGGACTAATACACTGTAAATCAGTTTTAAGTATTTTTTTCCCCATAACTTAGAGCAGTGGTCCCCAACCTTTCGTGGCTGCCGGGCGTCCGGGAATGGGGCCACTCACGTGCCAGGCGTCTGGGGGTGGGGCCACCTATGCACCATGCGCCTGGGGGTGGGGTCCATCCACACGCTCTGAGTCCAGGGTCAGTAACGCGCCCGGGGTAGGGGCCGTCCATGCGCCACGCGCCCAGGGCCGGCACCACGTATGTGTCGCGTGCCGGGGGCGGGACCAGCCCAGATGTTTCGGCGGGCGTACATAAGACCACTGACTTAGAGTAATGGCCTGTTTGCAGAGAAGAACTGAATGGGATCTTTTTCTCTTGGCCGATGCCAAGATAAATTCTGCACTTTTTCAATAAGTCTGATAACACTGTTCTTGTGATGAATTAATATTGGCTGGAACACTTAGTTTTGTGCTTTCTGAGTGCAGCATTTTAAATACATCTTATCCAATGAATTATTAGAACAGCATTTTCCTTCGGAAATCATTCATTGCACCATTAGATTGGAAGTTTAAGTTAAATATTGAAACTGAGGACGTGGGCACCTATCAGAGTATGCTACAATAAAAAAGTACGTAGGTGGATCTGTATTTGACTTCAGTGTAAGTGCCTTTGATGGTGTAATAGTTTTAATCTTGATTAAAACTGAACAATTAGCTAAAAAAATCTGAATGACTGTAAATCCTTCTAGATTATCTTTATTTTGACTATATTAATGAGTGTTTTTCCCCTCTTCTCTTGAACAAGCTATTTGGTAGTTTGTTGACTGTTAACTATTATCCCATCTTTGTCTCTAGTTCACTCTTAGCTCTTTACTATTTCCGGTTTTTCTTCTCTGGTCATTTGCTTGTCTTCCCCAGCCTGCCTTTTTACAACTGTCAAAGGACACTTTAGGAAGCTCTGCCTTTTTCTAAGCATGCTTTACAAAAATTGTGGTTAATTCTAGAAAAGATGGATTGTAAGACCCTTATCTTGCAGCATATTAAGGCAGTCGATCCCTCTGGTGAACCGAACAATTCTTTCATCCAATTGAATTTTTCGAAAGCCACATGCATTGCATCGTCTATCAATCTAGCAGCAATATAAAACAATATTTAAAAAACATTTAAAGCAATTGCTGTCACTGAGTGAACTACTTCGTTTAGTCTCCCACATGATTTTTAGTCTTCTCCTCTCCCCCTCGGCACTTGTAAAGATAACTGCAAATTATTGGAAGTCCATGCTCAGTGAAAATTCTTCTTTTTTTAGACACTGGGGGTTGTGCCCCCCGCTTGCTACGCTTGCCAGTCCCTCTCTGTCTGCTGCAGCCAGATCATGACCTCTCCTACCTGTCCTGCAGTAGGAGGGGGCCGCCACCAGCCCTTTCTGTAGTCAGATGGGAACTGGACCATGGGGCCTGCCCCAGAATTGGGGCTGGGGACAGGATTCTCCAGCCAGATGGGGCTGGGCTCCGATTGGGGTCTTGTTGGCCAGGCTTCATTTTCAATCAAGTAAAATATTATGTCCAACGCAAAAAGATTTCAACGCTGTTTTTATTAATAGCGGGGTGGGGAATCTTTTATGGGTTAGGGGCCACTGACCCATAGAAAAATCAGTTGGGGACCACACAAGTGAGAAGGAAAAAAACCCTCCAAAAAACCCCCAACCCTCACTGATGTGGCCCCCCAACTGAAACACCTCTCTTCCCTGGTGCTCCAGCCCCATTGCGGAGGGGGAAGGCTGAGGTTCAAGGCCTCAGGCCAGATTAACTCTTCTGGGGTTCCAGGATTAGTGGATTTTGTGGGTCAACTAGGCTCTGGGATGGAGCCAGAAATAGGGGTTCAGTGTGTGGGGCATGCATGGCTACCAATGATTGGGATAGAGATGGGGGTACAGGAGGGGCTGAGAGTGCAAGTTCTGGGTGAGAGGTAGGGTGCAGGAGCAGGCTGGGGGCAGGGTTTCTGGTGGTGGGGCAGGATCGGGCTGGGGGTGAGGTCTCAAAGGGAAGGTGAGTGAGGGTCCTGGGGATGTGGGGTCTTGGCAGGGCAGTGAGTGGCAGGGCTAGGGATGCAGGACAGGAGCAGGCTGGGGGGTGGGGTCTTAGTAGGGAGGTGAGTGAGGGGTCTGGGGAGTCAGGGTCTGTGCATGAGAGGGTGGGTGGCACTTACTTGTCTTCAGGCCCCGTGCTGGTAGCAGGCTTGGCCTCCCACTGCTCCCATTAGCTGGATTCTAGCCAATGGGAGCATGGGGAAAGACTGCAGCAAGTGCACTGTTGTTCCCCCAGCCCGGGAGGGAGAGGGCTTCTTCCCGTCAGACTGGGATAACTACCATTATTTCCTGTTGACTTCAATTCAGAAGATTTAGCTTTCATTTTGGTGTGAATAAATATCTACTGTTTACTACTCAGGAAATGCTAACTAGTAGCTCATTAATAACTGACTATAGCAATTGAGATCAAGGATGCAATAGTATAGTTGATTTAGCTGATTAACTGATAATCAAATGCTTATCAGTTAATGCTATCAACTATAGACATTTAAATGCAGAGCCTTGGTGCGGGACCTACCCTCTGATGCGGCTCTGCATATAAAAGTTAGTAGGACCTGGGTGGGCAGGCAGCCTGCCTACTACCTTTTTAAATTGCAGAGTCACAGGGGCGGTTCAGTCCCATACCCAGCATGAGCCAGGACTGAGCCTGGACATGGTGTGAGCTGGGACTGAGCACTTTAATTGCCTTGCCTTATTGACTAATTGTGTAGTCAATGCAAATTCTATCAACTACACGATTAGCAAATTACTCGCTTCTTAACATCCCTACTTAGTATAGTCAAGGGTGATAAATTTGCACAGGATTTTATTGTTCTAGGTTGCAAATGCCATGAAGAACTCATTGCCCTTTGATGCCCCTGATGTATCACAAGAAGGCCAGAAGGTGCTGAAGGTGGAGGTTACTCCCACCGTGCCAAGGATCTCTCGGACAGCCATTACGACAGCTTCTATCCGCCGCCACCGCTGGAGGAGAGAAGGTGAGCAGTCCCACTGTGCTGTGAATAACATGCTGTACTGTGTTCATTTCCATTGTTACCTGTTGGCTTCTGAATCTGAATGCTAGCAGAATAGTTTCATTTAAGTCCCACTGTGCTGTGAATAACATGCTGTACTGTGTTCATTTCCATTGTTACCTGTTGGCTTCTGAATCTGAATGCTAGCAGAATAGTTTTATTTAATTGCTTTTAGAATATCAGTATTTTGTTATATATATATATATAAAGCGCTTTTACATCTTTTCAGAGCACTGCATGGCCATGAACTCCTTAAAGCTCACAGTACTCCTGTGAGGTAGGGAAGTGACTCTTACCCTCCTTTAACAGATGGAGAAATTCGAGGGGTTAGGTAAACTTTCTATGTCGTATATCATGGAGGTGTGATTAGATCTCAGGCATTCTTGATGCCAAGTCCTGCACTTAATCCATTAGACCATGTGGCCTCCCACAAGAAATACTATTGGTCTAACTTTATCAGTGGTGTTGAGCAACCACTGATCCCACTTAACTTTGCGGGAGACTGAGTTGTGCACTAAATCAGACCATTTGTTCTTCGAGAAAAATTCCTAAACTAAAAATTCCCCTTCACGCCTCTATTTTTCTTGATGGATACTTACATTTCTAAGAATAGTATTTAACTGAAAGGAAGAAAAATAAATGTGGTGGTAGGATTTTGGTTTTTTTCAAGTATCTCAGAGGGAGAACTTCATCCCTGGTTTCAAATTCCTATCTTCTTTTACGGTTAATTTTATGCCTCAAGAACCAGAATACTTCATGACCTCTGGTCACTTGCAAGTCAGGGTGCCTAACTATAGAAGCAAATGTTACCATTGCAGATCTTCAATCACATTTGTCCTGACCACTGATGTTGTTCTGTTCGTTTGCCTCTCACAGTATAGTTCATCTGCCTCTTTCTGTGGGTGTGTACACAAATGTGCATGTGTGTGTATAAGGCTATGTCTACACTGCACACAGTATGTACTATAAGGGTGTGAGCTGCAGAATGCACCAAAATGGTGTTCTCTTAATGTCCTGTGTGGATGCTGCTGGCATAAATTAACTGGTATAGAGTTTGCATTTAAAATACTTCACTTTCAAAGCTTAGGTACCTTTTGGTTTTCTCCAGTAGTGTCCACATGAAGCTGTCAGAGCACACTATTTCCATGAATTCTGCAATTTGCACCCCTTTTAGCCCACAGCACAGTACAGTGTAGACCAGACCTAAGTGTGGATAGTGCTTTTGTTTTTCCGTTAAATATTCTCTTTTCCCTGCCTGGATTGGAATGCCTACAAAGGAATAGAAAAGCACTAAAATTTTATGTGTTGAATCCCAGATGGCTTTGACTTCTCAAACGAGGCTGACTCAAGCATTCCTGGCTCCCTGATCCAACACGGCTCCACTGACCTAGGGATCAAACGTGAGCAAGAGGGGGAGGTGCTGGTGCGCAGGACCCCTGAGCATGGCTTACCGGAGCCCACCTTGACAGCTGCCACAACAGAGGGTAGGACAGAGAGGAGGCAGAAGTCAGTGAGGCAGATGCCGGAGGAGGATCCTGGCTCCCTATCCCCAAGCAGAACTTCTTTCCATTCTAGTGCGTGTTTCCACTATCCCAGGGTGTATTAGCTTCTCTTTGCTATACACACATCCCCTATAGACCTAGCACCAGGTCAGATACTACCTTTTGTTATCATGTGGGCTGGCCTGGGGTTTGCATTTCTGTGGTGAAAGGCAGCTTGGCATGGCTATCGAAGAGGAAAAGGCAGCATCTAAGAGCATTCAGATTGCTTTAAATTTCCTATTACTGAGCATGTTTAATATTTGCAAGAAAAGTAATGAACCAAATGAGCATAAGCCCAGTTCAGAAAATCTGTCAAATCAGTGTTAGGGTATAAAAGAGTCTTATTACAAGATAGTATTGGAACAATGTTTCAAAATCCAAAGTGAATTTCCTGTTAATCTATTTCCCACACTTTTGTTTATCAGAGCTTCACCATCTTGTTGGTAGTCTGCATGAGTGGACTCTCAGTAAATCACACTAATCCCCTAAACGGAATCAAGTTGTCATGTCAACAGCCACTTTAAAACAGTGACTGATTCCTTCTCAAACAGGTTCTTTTGGTGTATGCTGTTGATTTTGCAACAGCTGTCCTTGCAGCCACATGCTGTGCTCTGTGAGTTGTCTAATAGACGTTCATTTTCTTTAGTGAGCCTATTAACTAGTCATCTGCATTTGGCAAGATATATGCTTTCATGCAGTGAATTTGATTCATGACTTCTCTTAGTGGTAGTATGTTTAATTCTGTACACTTTTATCTGAAAATGTATTCCCAAGAGTCCTCTGATCGTCCTAATCAGGTTCTGAAATGTTTCTTTTTTTGTGTGAACATTCCTTTAGCATTTCCAATGACTGTAAAGGTCACATTTTCTCCAAAAGAGAAAGTATTTGCAGACTATTTCATATGTACTGCATATGCTTTAAGGTGTCCTTGTGGAAACAAAAATCTGAGATTCTTGCGGATTTGATGTATTATTACCATGGAACCCACCACAGTGAATCATCCCTTAATGAACGAGGGTCACAACATCCTACTTCATTGGAAAAATAAGATACTTACAAAACATAATGCTATTGAAGTTTTAGAATTTGCTCCTTGGTGTGTAGTGATTTGAGCATGCTCAGTAAACAAGAGCCCTGTCCCATCCTTACTTCATTTTTCCAATTTGTCTTATTTCACTGTACTGAATGTTGCATGTGCATGTCCTGAAGGATTTGGAGAAGTCCTCAACTTTGCAGAGAACCTTCTTTAAAAATGGTTGCAAGAATGTAGCCTTCCCTAACATTTGAGTTATTTTAAAATAATATATAATTTGCCCTGGTCCTTTGCACTCTGTATCACTTTGAGTGGTTTTCTTGGATATGAAAGAGAAGAATATTGGAACAGATAATCATTGCTGACAATTGCCTTTCTGCTCAAACTATACAAACTTTGCCACTCAGTAATATTCTGGGGTAGAAGGTAACCATGGAGCTACAGTAGATTTAATTATTAATACGTTACATACAAATATTTATGTATATTACTGTATTAATTTATTGATGATGATCTTGCATAAAACTTGAGTGAAAATTGAGTGACAATGTCCTACCTGAAATGAAAAAGTTCTTTCCTGGTGAACCCTAGTAATCCCTTTCATTATTCAATTTGTTTATGCATCTAATTATGAGACAGATAAAATAAGTATCCCTTTTACACTAGTATTTGGAGCAAGTAATAGAATGTTATTGCTGATTCCCAAGTGATGCTTCAGGATACTCTTCTGTCATTGGTGGTAGCTCTAGGTGTTACATTTTTTTTTTGTGGTCAGTGGATAGCGATAGGAGGGAAGCTGACATGGAACAAGTCCAAAAATAAATATAATCTCTAGGATCTACTTTGTATTGATTTCTGTGTCACATAACAGTGCATTCTTTAGAGAAGCTCTAATTCCTTTAGAAAATACTGAGACACTTTAAGATAAAAAATTTGTGGTTGACTTGTCATTTTTTCTTTACTTTTTATATCAGCCCAGCTCCTTTCCAATATTTAGTCAGTTATGGGGTTGTTGAGGAGAGAGATGCTGTTTTGATCATTATTGCTATTTTGGAAAAGAAGAAAATTTCCACTTCTGGGTTCCCTGAAGAAGGGAGAATGCAAGTGCAGTTCTCCCTTTCCTTGTTTCTGAGAGTCGTGGTTAAGAGGAAAACTACAATGCAGTGGAATAACTGTATATATTTAAGGCATGTTTTACTTACTCAGGAAAGTTCCACAGGAGAGAAATCTTTCACCTACCTGAGATCTGACTGGAGAGAGATTTCCCTGCATGTTGTCTTGTATGCTTTCTTCATTCTTCAGCATTGCTGTGCTGGCTGGGCCTCTCTCTCTTTGCATGGTTGCAGCATCCAAAAGCTTGTACCAAGCCTCTCATTCTCCTCTCTCAAGTGAAATAGATACATTTCAATTTTACCTTTACAAATATTTTCTGCTATCTTATGGCATTTTTCTGAAGTAGGATAATCAGTTTAGCATCCCTAATTATTTTCTCATGAACACAGTGCTGCTTCTATTTTCTCATAGTGCTTCTTCACCATGTTTGCACCAATGTTCAGATAAAGCTTTCCCATATGACTTGGGGTTGTCTCCCTGCAAATTTTATCATCTGTTTGAATAAGGGAGGGTTGAGAGAGGAGGTGTTAGCTGCTGCGTCATCCCTTATCAAATGCACTTTCTTTCAGCTTTGCATGATCAATAAAAATATAAATGCTGGGTCTGATGGGAAGAGGTTCTTTTGTTTCAGGGTGTTTCCATTGTATCTTCCTTTTACTAGCACCTTCGAAGACTGGTGCTGGTAGATTATTCATAAATGTCTCATTGTTTAATATGGGAAAGTATTTGTGTGAATAAATGAGAAGATAAACACTTTATATTTCTAAAGGACCAATTTGACAAAGGAAAAAAATAAAATATATTTCTAAAGGACCAATTTGACAAAGCAGGAAAAAAATAAACCCCCTTTTGTAAATGTGTATTGAGAAAATTGTAGTAAATGCATTTTAATTAGAAAATATCCCTTATATGCTTGTCTTGATCTAAGGCTAATTTTTTTTCCAAGTCTAAAGACTGCATTACTGCAAAGTCTCCTCAACTTTATGGCAGGTTAAAGATTAGACTAAACCTGTAGGAGTTACGCAAAAAGGAGCCCAGCTCTGTGTTCTTCTGAGCATGGCTTTAGGTTAGAGCAGTGGTCACCAACCAGTACATCGGGATCTTGGAGCCTCTGACAGGCTTAGCCAAGAGGCTATCAAGTGCACGCACTTCAGTTGCCCCTCCCCCCACTGCTGCACATCTCCTGCCCTTTGCCTTGGAGCTACCCCCCACCCCACCCCACCCCGGGAGCCTCCTGCTTATGGTAGAGAAGGGAAGGGAGAGGAGGGGGCACTGATGTCAGGATGCTCCTCTCCCACCCTGTATTCTATCTCCACAGAATGGAGAGGGAAGCACAACAAGGCTTGGGATGGAGAGGGGGGATTGCTGGCTGCTTTTGGGGGTGGTGTAGGGCCAGGGCAGGGGTGAGCCTGCCTTAGCTCCACTGCACCGCCACCTGAGGTAAGCAGTGTCCACTTGGAGGCAGCTCCAAACTCCTGAACCCCCTCCTGCACCACAAGCCCCTGCCCCAGCCCTGAGGCCCCTGAACCCAAACTCCCACCCGAAGCCTGCACCCTGGACCCCCTTCCTGCATTTCAACTTCCTGCCCCAGGTACAGCTCAGAGCCCCTCTCTCACTCCAAATCTCTTAGCCCAAAACCAGAGTCTGCACCCCAACCGTCTGCCCCTGCCTGGTGAAAGGGAGGGAGAACGGGGGAGGGAGTGAGCAGGGGCAGGGCCTCAGAGAAGGGGCACAAAGGAGGCAGGGAAAGGGTATTTGGGTTGAGGTAGATCTATCATTGCACTTACATTCAAAAAGTGATCTTGTGCTTAAAAAAGGTTGGTGACCACTGGGTTGGAAAGTGGACCAGAGTCCCATTGAAAGCTGAACCCAAGTATATCAGTGATATTCACTTTAAAGACAATTCCTAAGAAGGAAAGGGACTTAAAAAAAACCCATCCGTAAAGCTGTTATGCATTCTGAAATGTGGTGCATAGCCAGAATTTTTTTCACCAACAGCTAAGTTCTAGCCTCAAGAAACAGCAGTATAAGTTTAAAAACAACTTGTTACCTCTGTCAGTGCATTGACCACAATCTGTGAAAAGATAGGTTAATTCTTGTTAGACTCATAAACCTTTTGTCATCACTGAAAGAGCTTCAGACAATCTCTTTGATATATGCTAGAGCAGGGTGAGCAAACTGCCACTGGAATAATGCAGCAGTTGAACCTGTGAAACATGTACACTTACTGGGGTTTCCTGCAAGCAATCATGCTTATGGCTATCAGGGAAATCTGAAATTCTGACAACTCGAAGGCCTTAAATAAAACAAAGGTGACATATTGCTTTTTTAATCTTGAAAGCAAGTCCACTTGAGTGAAAATGAGTTGACTTTCACTCAAAAGCACCTTAACAAAAACTTCAGTTTTTGAAATTGTCATGTTCAGAATACATGAGAAATGCATATTTTGTTATTTTAATGTAAAAACTACTTTATTAATTTCCTTAAAGCCAAAACATTTTTCATAAAAATACTTTGAATAGCCCTGGAAAAGAACAAAAAGCAAACATTTAAGAAGTAATTGCTTCTTTCCTTAACAATGGAAAATAAGAAGCAAAATGCAAACCACAAACTAGAAGTAATTTGTGAAGGAACCTGCTGCCACTAAATATAGCCAGTAAATTAGCAGAATGGCTTTGTACTATTTACAAACGTCACTGACTAATACACGTAAGGGTATGTCTACACTGCAGTCACACCTGCAGATGGCCTGTGCCATCTGACTTGGCTCAAGCAATGGGTCTATTTAATTTGGATC